GTAAAGTCATTCAGCTTGGTTCCAGCCAACGTTTCAGGGTGGTGAAGGAGATAGAGCATCAGGCCTGGAGTCAGGAAGACTCCTCTATCTGAGATCAAATCCAGCCTCAGACACTTACTAGCTGTGTGGCCCTGGACAAGTCACTTAACCCTAATTGCCTTAAAAAAAAAAGATACATACTTGCAGAGTGACACTGGGAAAGTCACTTTCTAAGCATGTTTTTCCACATCTAAAATGAGGGAGTAAAATCCCTTCTAATCCTAGATCTAGCCTCACATGAATCCATGTCCACTGTCGTTCTACCACCCCACACCAGGTATGATGATAATGTACTGGTATATGGAACTCTAATCAGAAAAGAGGATGCAGTCAGTACAGCTTCCACACTGGGAATCTCCTAGGGAGACATACAATGGGTGATTTTCCTAAATTTAGTTTCATCCAAAATGCCAAACCATTTGAAAAGCTCCTGCCTGAGGCTTACTGATTAAGTAAATTAACTTAATTCCCTCCCCCTCCCCATCAAGCAGGAAGCAGAGAATTTAGCATCCTCTCGAGCCCTTTACGCATTTAATTCGGGGTTTGGGGTTTTTTTGTTTGTTTGTTTGGTTTTTTTGCCAGCTTCCCGGAAATACGTACGTTGAAGCTGCATTTAATTTTGTGACTGTAATCATGCCTGCCAGGAATCACCAGAGGGATGTAACCTACAAAGGTCAGGTTTGACCTCTGACCTCCCTCTTCCACCTTAAGTGTTTCTTCCTCCTCCTATAAAAGTGTAGATGTTCCTCAAAGTTCTATACTTGGACATATTCTTTATTTATTTTCTCTTCCTTGATCTCACTCATTTCCATGACTTCCATGATCACTTCTACACAAGGGACTTTCCCTTGAACAAGTCTCTCATTTCCCAGAGCCTAACCATCTTCACCAGACTCCTGCAGCACCTCAAACTCACAATGCCCCAAAGTGAACATCTTCCCCATAAGCCTTCCTTTCTTCCCAACTTCTGTTGATGGGCACCACCATTCTCTCTTGGTTCACAAAGTTCAAGACTTTGAAGTCATCATTGACTATATTGCATCTTCTTCACTCCCATCTACATGTTACAGTGGAAAGAGCACAGGTTCTGGAATCATAATAACCCTGGGCAAGTCACTTCACCTACGTAAGCCTCAGTTTCCTTAATTGTGAAGTGAGGTGGTTGAACTAGATGGCCTTTCAGTTCTCTTTCAGCTTTACATCTACGATCCTGAGACCCCTGTAGATTCTAACTCCACTAACTGCCTCATGTGTGCCTCCTTCTTTCTGTCACCAATGAACTTCTAGCTAGTCTAGAGCAGGGGTTGTTAACCTTTTTTGTGTCATGAATCCCTTTGACAACCTAGTGAGGTCTATCAGGGTAAAGAGAAGCATTCTAAAAGGCCCCATCTCAGGGTAATGTTTTTCAATACATAAAATATGTAGGATTAGAAAAAAAAACAATTACACCGGAAAAGATTACCAAAATATTAAAAAAAAAAAACAACCAAGTTCCCAGAAACTAGGTTAAGAACTCCTGAGCTAGAGAAATTTAAGGAAATGGAAAGCCTTGGACAGCACAGGGCCTTGGTTTGAATCCTGGCTCTTTTTATTAACACCAGTGTGACCATCAAAAAGGCACTGCAATCATCCTTTTTATTGTTCTATGTTATGGAAATGCTTGTTTTATTCCATAAATTAAAAAATAAATAGAAACTAAAAAAGAAGGCACTGCAGCTCTGAACCTGTTTACACTTCTGTAAGATAAAAGAAGGGGTTTGGCCTCAAAGATCTCTAAGGTTCCTTCCAGCTCAGGACCAATGATCCTCTGATAGACATGTTTGTAATTCAAGCCCTCAATCCCTCTTGCCCCTAACTGTTGTGACTGCCTTCAAACTGGTCTCCCTCCAATTCGATCACAACGCGGCCAAAATAATCTTCCTAATAAACGAATGGGATCCCATCACTTCTAAGGCTAAAGTTGTTCAATGACTCCACACCCCTTGCCCTCAACTGCTTATAAGACTGAGAAGTAAATTCTTAAATGTTTGGTGAAAATAAATACGGAGGAGCGCTGAAGGGACTTCCCCTTTCCCCTCCAAAAAAAATTATCTGAGAATAAATTGTACAAACATTGAAAGGTCTTAACACCTGAAACTAGGCTAGGAGGAGTGTCTGAGCATATCCTATAAGTAGCTTTGGCTTCCTAATGTCGTCCCGCCACCACACACACACACACACACACACACACACACAATGCTGGGAGTCTGAATCCATATTGAAGAGGACTATAGTCTGGGGGAGGGGGAGGCTAAAAGTGGGAGGGGGAAGACATCTAGCACACAGCTAGGTATATAAGTATATACATGAAGCTCCAAAAGACTTAGTGCCGGTTTAAGTAATTAAAGCTTAAAATGCACTAAGACTTTTGGGACACCCCCAATTAAGCAGGATGACTGGGCGTTGCCTGGGGCAGGAAGGAGTACTAGAGTGCATCTTGTTTATTCTACATAGTTACTAGCCACCCCACAAGGTGCACCGATGCACTTAAAAAAACTCTTCTCAAATTGCCCTGTCATTTCAAAGAGAAACAACTCGGGGTCCTTTTGGGTAAAGTACTTTGCCTACCAATCCTCTGGTCATCCCCTTGACCCCTCCCCCTGATCCCTCCCCCCACCTCCACTCACACAACCAGTGACCAGTTCGGTTAATTGCATCCTTAGCTTCAGCACAATTTCTACACAAACAGCTCATGGAACCCACAAACCCCTCTGAGTGGGAATGCCTCAGGGTCCCTGCCCCACAAATGCGACTTCCCCATACTCCCAACGGAACCGCTGCAGCCAGGGCCCAGGAGGCTACACTGCATGTTTAATGGGGGCTCGGAACAAAGACCCGAGCCCTGGCTTTCCCAAAACCAAACCCGCAGCCGGGGGTGTGTCCCTGCTCCGCCCCCGGGCCACGAGCAGAGGGGAAGGCTAAGGGGCTTCCTTTAAATTCGACTAATAGGGAAGTCAGCTTTAACACCTCTACATCTCCTAAACATCACAGTAGCAGCAGCCCAGAACCAAATGGCTCCAGATGTCCTATTGGACCCTAGATGTTGCTTCCAATCTAAACAGCGGCCGGACGATTCACTCCCTGGGGGGGGTGGGGGAGGGAGGGAGAGGCCTCAAGAGAAATCCATGCAGGAGTATAGGACCTCTACTTGGTGAACGCAACCCTTCAAGTTCGGCCTCCTCTCCCGCATAAACAATCCAAATTCAGCTGCACCCACAGGGCCCGATCTAATGCAAGCCCGACACTGGGCCTTTAACCGTGGGAAATCACATTTGGTTGGGGGGACGGAGGAGGGAGGGGAAGGAGTGTGTTTTGAGACCGTGTATAAACAAATATTGCAATTCAATGCAAAGTACTGGCCAGAGGGAGGGACAGTCAAGAATCCGAGTGAGTGTTGTTGGTGTGTGGTGTGGTGTGTCTGTGTGTATATGTGTGTGCGCGCGCGTGTGTGTGTGTGTGCGTGTGTGCGCTGGTGAGCCTGCTCTCACACACAGCATTGTTCGCCAATCCCCGAAAGGGGAGACTTGTTATTTTTCCCCTTTTCTCCCCTCCCCCTCTCCTGCCCCGCCCCTCTCCTCCCCTCCCCCCGAGTCTTAAACACGAGCCGGCCCCGCGCAGCGGCCGCGCACAGCTGCGCTCCGAGCCCCGGGATCTGGGGCCCAGCCTCCTCCTCCTCCTCTTCTCCAACCCCCTCCCTAACTACTAAAGCGACCCCCCGGCCCCGAGGGGCCGAGGGATTACGAGGGGGCGGGGCAGTACCTTGCCGCGGGGCTGAGCTCCCAGAAAGGGCCGAAGGGAATTAAAAAAGGGTACTGAGCGCTGAACGCTCCAGGGAGAACCCCGAAAGCTTAGCCAGAACGCTCCGGCGGCCCGCAGCTCAAAATCGCCCCCCTCCAACCTAACCGGCCAGCCGCCACTCTCCGAATCAGGCGGTGCTCAGGGCCGGGGCTGCTGCTCAAGCAGAGACCTCCCGTTTAGTTCAAGACAAACACTTTTTCCAACCCGGGTAGGGAGGTACAATTTAAAATAGCCCCATGGGTCCCCGATCTCGACATTCCCTCTACCGGTGTTTAAAGCTAACTTGCCTATTACTCCGCTCCGCCCCTTTACCCGTTCCAAAAGCAGCAACAGAGTCCAATAAATTAGCAAATAGTTGGAGAGACTGAAAAACAAAAACCTCAGACTCTCTAACGTGCCAGGGTAAAGGACGTGACTGGGTTTGGTTTTTACAACTCAAAATTAGCTCATCCCGCCACAAATCACCTCAAACCTCCCCCTCCCCCCAGAGACTTTCACCATCCGAACGAGACTTTCGAGTTCTGTGCACATTTCTTTAAGGATGGGTTAGGGGAGGCGCCCCTCAGCCACCCGGACCTCTGTGGGGGTAGCTTGGAACGCTGTCCAGCAACAATGCATTCTCTCCAAGAAGCGCGAATCCTTCTGGAGCTCAGGTCACGCGGCCGCCCCCTCCCCAACAGGGGCCCGAAAGGCTACGAGCTCGCGCGGCAAAGCTGACCCCCGCGAGCCTCTACCAGCCATGCCTGGCTGCAGCTGAGAAAACGCGAAAAAGCCACCACAGCGACGGTCCCCTCCGAGACCTGGAGGTTTCGCCCCAAACCCGAGGCACTCGGGGTGGGGGGGGGGGAACGGGCAGAAGGTACAGGTGCTTGGACGAGGCTTCGGGGAAGTTCCTTTGTTGGTAAACATTGCAGGGAGTTTCGCACGCCGCGGGCCTCGCGGACACGCGAACACACACCCCGCCCCGCCCCCCAGCCCCCCGGGAACTGAAAACTTAAGAAACAGATCCCAGGTCACCGGACCTCGGGGGTCTTGGGATGGGGGAATGATGGAGTCTCGAGCAGAGCTCGGAGGTACAGCCTCCTCGAGCATGTCTTCCACAAGAAGCCCTCGCGAACACTCACCTGCGCAAAGCGATCCCCAAAGCAGGGCGAAAGTGACCCAAGGCGCCGTCATCTTCCACGAAGACAAAAACACCGCGCGCCACGCGGGGGGCCGGCAGGGAGGAGGAGGAGGCAGAAAGGAGCCCCAGAAAGGGAGTTCAGAAGGAAGCGGCGGGAAGAAGCCCGCGGGGTGCAGGCAAAGAAGGCGCTCCGGTCAATTCCGACCCAGCGACTCCACTCCCTGTGGCGCTCGCGGCCGGGTCCCCTGACTTCGGCGGGCCGGCTGGCTGGGCCAGGGGAGGGGGTGAAGCAAGCGCAGGGCCAGCCCCGGCCCCGCCGAGGGCGCGCTGCTGCTGCCGCTGCTCTGGCTCCGGCTCCTGCTCCTGCTCCGGCTCCTGCTCCGGCTCCCGCTGCTACCGCCGCTGCTGCTCCTTCACCTCCTCCCCACGCGCGCCCGGAGACTTTGTCCAGAGGGAGTCCGGGGCCACCGCGGGCAGAGGGGCCGGGGCCGCGGGGCGCACACCCAGACCCCAAAGTTTGCGGGGCTCAGGCTGGGGGCTCAGGGCAGCTGCGGAGCGCGCACGACGTGCAGGAGGTGGATGAGGCTTCGGCTGCGGCCCGGGCTCCGGGGCGAGGCGGCGGTGACGGCCGGGGGGCGGCAGCTGGGCTGGGGGGCGGCGGCGGAGCGGGGAGGCGCGGGCTGCGGCGGAGGGGGCTGCGGCGCGCCGGGCGCAGGCATAGCGCGGCGGAGCTGGGGGCGCCGGGGGAGCGGGTGGTGGGGTCGGGAAGCAGGGACGAGGAGGAGGCGGCGGCGGCGGCTGCGGACAGCGAGACGACGACGAGGAGAGGCCGGTGCAAGCTCCAGCTCCGGAG